AGTAGTCAATGGCTCAATGTCCAGATGTAGATCGGTGACAAGTGGTGTCCCTCAGGGGTCCATATTGGGACCAGTACTCTTTAATATCCTCATCAATGACATAGACAGTGGGATCAAGTGCATCCTCAGCAAATTTGCAGATGACACCAAGTTGAGTGGTGTGGTTGACACGCCTGAGGGACAGGATGCCATCTGGAGAAACCTAGACAAGCTCGAGGAATGGGCCCATGTGAATCTCATGAGGTTCAACAAGGCCAGGTGCAGGGTCCTGCACCTGCATCAGAGCAACCCCCAGTATCAATACGGGCTGAGGGATGAAAGGATCAAGAGCAGCCCTGATGAGAAGGACTTGGGGATACTGGGGGAAGAAGAGCTGGACATGAGCCGGCAATGTGCACTCACAGCCCAGAAGGCCAACCATATCCCGGGCTGCATCCAAAGCAACATGGACAGCAGGTCGAGGGAGGTGACTCTGCTCCTCTACTCCACTCTGGTGAGAGCCCATCTGGAGTCCTGTGCCCAGGTCTGAAGCCCTCAGCACAGGAAAGACATGGACCTGTTGGAGAGGGTCCAGAGGAGGGCCACAAAAATGATGAGAGGGATGGAACACCTCTCCTGTGAGGACAGTCTGAGAGAGTTGGCGTTGTTCAGGCTGGAGAAGAGAAGCCTCCGGGGAGACCTTATTTCAGCCTTTCAGTACTTAAAGGGGGGTTATAAGAAGGATGGGGACAGACTTTTTAGCAGGGCCTGTTGTGATAGGACATGGGGTAATGGTTTTAAACTAAAAGAGGGGAGATTTAGCCTAGATAGAAGGAAGAAATGTTTCACAACGACGGTGGTGAAACCCTGGCACACGTTGCCCAGAAAGGTGGTAGCTGACTCATCCCTGGAAAAATTCAAGGTGAGGTTGGATGGGACTCTGAGCAACCTGATCTAGTTGAAGATGTCCTTTCTCATTGCAGAGGGGTTGGTCTAGATGATCTTTAATGGTCCCTTGGAACCCAAACTATTCTATGATTTTATGATTTAGATGTTATTTGAAGCATGTGTAAACCTTATATTTTAAACAATGAAAATAAGAACAAATTCTACTTCTCTAGATGTCCCTTTCTTTAAGACCATTCTCCCTGACCACCGATAATCTCAGCATGTGTGCAGCTGATCTGTGGTCTCCCCTGACCTTCAGCAAGTCATATCATTCACAGCTACTGCATACCACGTCTTCTCTATGCCACTGAGTGTTAAATGAAATGTCCACCTTGCTGTTGACGCTTGGGAGATCTGCAACAGCACAGGTGTGATGAAGAGCATAGAGAAGGGCAGACATACCTACCAAAGTAAACTTTATTATGAAACTGCTCCCAAATAAGAGTATTTCTTACAATGGGTGAAGAGATGCAAGATGATCTTTAGAGCATTATGCAAAGCTACTGCACTCTGTTGACATACGGGCAAGATTCTCTAAGTGCCTCTTTAAATGCGTCAGTTGCTAAATTTGCTCATAATTCTGACACATAATTGCAATGTGGAACTACTTTCAGCCACCAGGACCAAGGGACCCATTGCAGATTTAGCTAAAAATTCTGCAAATTTGCACGTGTTTTGCCTAGCAGAACTTTATGCAAACTTTTCCTTTGTTTTTGACACTTATCCTTTTCAAAGGGTGCTACTTGCATGGCTCCTGCAATAACAGCTTGGAGCAGGAATAAGACATCAGCTCCATTTCCTCTACACATAAATATACTCCCCATCTTCCTTCAACATCCAGACAAATAACCCCCTGCATTTTTAAAAGAAGAGAAGAAATATTTTCCTCATGGCAATAGCAGTAGTTGGAATTGTTATAGCCCATGTTAATGGAGACATTCCCTTCTCAAATATCTACCAACCCATCTTAGACAAAAATTATTACAGAAATAAGGATAGAATATCAGCCAGTATGTGCTTCAAGTCCCACAGCAACAGCCTCTTCTGTCACAGCATGGACACAATTGGAAATGTTTCCAAAGACAAAAATATTAATATATCCAAGTCTGTCTTCTCATCAAACCAAGATCTACAGCAGATGCAAGAGCTTTAGGTGAGCAAAGGCGATGGAAATCAATGTACCTTTTCCAAGCGTTTTGGCCTCAATGATCTCGCTGATGCGTCCTGGCCCCACTCCGTTCTGAGCAGTTAAAGTAAACTTGTACCAAGTGCCACATTTCAATGTTTCTAAACGGTAGGACCTCTCACTAGGGCTAATGGGAAAACTACCCCACTGCTCACTGTTATCTTCTGAGTACTGCAAAATATAACCTGGAGGAAAAGCACAGACGACAATGCTAAGCCAGATACAAGCCACAAATTCTGCAGGTAATATGACAAGTCATTTTAAAGACCTAATAAAGACAGAAAAATCCCATGCACAGGAAGACATACAGCTCTCCCCTGACTAGAAGATACCAGGTAATACATTTTGCCTACCCTTATAACAACTTAAATATCATTTTAATGATCTCTTCAAAGGGAAAAGAAAGGAATAAACAGTTCTAAATACCCTTCAATCAGAAACAAATACCAGATGATGAGCCTGGACCCTCAAAAATGAATGGTTAGAGATTCCATGTCTGAAAAATCAGAGACAGTAACTGTCAAAACAGCTGAGCATACGCTGGAAGAAAGTGATTAAATACGTGATTAAACCACCACAAAAAGAAACTCCAATTTACTGAAAGCTGTTATCACGAAGATAGTGCACATTAAGCTGACAGCAATACAGATTGCTTTGTTTTCCTTTTTTTCGTAGCCATTCATAATTATATACTAATCCTATCAACATATAATAATTTAGTGAGAAGTTGCAATTAACTCAAAGTATATTACCTCGGATAGAACTGCCACCATTGTCTCCAGG